TAGTACTAAGAATAGTGTTTTGGGACATCCTCAGTTAGTGATTTCTTCCCTCACTCCCTCCTCCTCTACCCTGCCCTCCCACCCACCTCCTAACTTGAACTCAGCTCCATTATTCACCTCCCTCTCTTTATACCACTTCTGTTCTACCAGACACCTTGGTATAAGTCAGGGCTCTTTGAAGGATGAGATTCAGTGGAGTGAGTCTGTGTATAATATGTGCATAATACAGAAAACTATACTAAGACCGCTTACACTGAAATGGTATCAACAGCTGAATCCCAGCTAAGAGGCTGAGAACCACATAGAGGTAGTTAATCAAAGATACCAATTTTAACACTCAAAATGAGGATTATTTCTGAAGGCTGCTACACTAGAATGAGTTTCTTTCACCATTTGTAAGCATTTTAACTTCCTGTAGTAGCACATCTTGATTGATGGATGACTGCATTTCCTGTAAGGAGAGGGTTCTACACAGAAAGAACTTAATGGAGCCCATATTCTGAAATGTAACCCTAATAATTTGCAGTAGAATCTTCACAATTTTGGTGTAACATTGAAGTCTGCCTAATTTGAAACTGATATTTGGACAAGGTAACCATCAAGTCTCCTTTTCCACATGTTCAATATCAAGTTTTCTCAACACAGTTTCTTGTAGATTCCATGTATCCTCAAGCATTTATCTTAGACATGCATATCAAAAACAATAGGTGATTGTAGGTATGTGTATTTATACCTAGGTCCCTGCTCCTAATCCATTATTAATATGTGTTTCATGGTAGGACCAACTACTATAACTTGAAATCAGTGTCTCAGATTTTTATCTTTGACGATGAAGAGACACCATGACAATGAAACATAAAAGAAAGCATTTAATAGGGTGCTGGCTTAGAAAATCAGAGGGTCAGTCCTTGCACATCATGACTGTGGTCTCAAGCAAGCAAACAAAATGCTGGAGACAAATATAAGAGTTGGACACTGTAAATGGATGGAACTAGAAGAAACCATCTTGAGTGAGGTAACCCAGTCACAAAAAGACAAACATGTTATGTACTCACTCATATATGAATTTTAGACATAGAACGAAGGATTACCAGCCTACAATCCTCTTCACCAAAGGAACTAGGAAACAAGGACTCTAAGAGAAAAATGCATGGTCCCCGGAGAATGGGAAGGGTCAGGATATCCTAAGCTAATTGGGAGCATGAGGGTAGGGGAGAGGGAGCAGGCAGAATGTGAGGAGGGGAAAGGAGGAAATGGAGGAGCAGAAAAGTTGAGTTGGGGGGGATGGATAGAGGAGAGCAGGATGAGAGATATCATAACAGAGGGAGCCATTATAGGTCAGAGGAGAGATCTG